CATAAGCAGCCTTTATATTAAATAAAATTTCAAGGAGATTATTGCTAATATTGCTGGTGTTAGCTGCAGCAATTTCTGTTCAGCTGAAATAAATGGGAATTCTTTGAACAACTGAATTTGTTACTAAAGAGTTAGCATGTGCTGACATTTTTATTTTGTTATAATGGTTATTCTTTAAATGAAATTAGTGAATTTAAAAGCCCAAGAGTTATTGCCACTGGCAATTGAAGTCTTTTGTGTGCCTGTTAAAAGATATAGTATTGCAAAATTATTCATGTTGTTTGGCCTGTGTATCTCAGTTCTTAACCAACAACTTTGCTGCTAGCCTTCAGACACTGACCCCATTGTTAGTAAAGAAAAAACCAATATTGGAAACAGCACTGGGGGCAGTATCCCCCTGATACTGAATTGAATAACTAGGGTAATTATTGCAGAAATCAGTGTGGATAGTAAGACATGGAGCATCATGACTGGCTGTTTTGGTTGCATGTTCTTTACTTTCCTCCTTTGGTCCCTCGTATTTTCCTGTGCCTTACTATATTGAGCTGGTCTGACTGGGGGGCTTTTGCTGGCTTCTGGAAACTTAAGACTCATTGTTAGTACTTTTTGCAAAGTGCTATGATGGTTTAATGATGTAGGCATCTGTCTCCTAGCAAACAGGCTAAGATGAACAAGACATTTAGCACAGATCATTGAACAGCTGATGGCAAATTTCAGGTGTCACATTATCATCCTATGTTAATATGGAGCAGGAATCACATTTTATTGTGTTTTCACAGTCCCCTAGTACATGACAAGGACTTCCCATTCAATAACAATAATATCAATAAAATCAATAGTGACCATATATAAAATACTATTTCCATCGGTTATTCCTGACAGCAAAGGCAGGCTAAAGCTACAGCTGACAGCATGGCTTCTTTTCCCATATGCGTAATGTATGTCTTTATAAAATCGTATGTAATTTTCTGAATACTAAAGTATGCTGTCATTTGTATATCTAAAGCTCTGCAAGATGCATATTATACACTGAATGAAACAAAACTCTTCAGGCTTTTCATTCCTTGTATAATTCCCCAGAGTTCCACAGATGCTAGAAAAAGCCTTAAGACATAGAAGTGTGACAGTACAGTATTTCATACAGTATTTATATAAATTTCAGTACAGAATATTGCACTGTATGAATAATCTTTGTAACTTCCAAATATTTACATTTCTAAATCTGACCCTTTGTAAGACTACAGAAATTGCAGGAAATACACCTTCCCTTGTGTATTCATAGGAAGCTGGGTTATCTGAGTTTCAAGCCAAATTCAAAACGTACTTCAAAAGCGATTGCCACACAGAAGACACTGTTTATGTGAGTAACTTGGTTACATCTCTGCCATATGAAGTAAAGTGCCATGCATTTTCCTGAGCATAGGTATCAATACACACAATAAAGCTGCTATTACTTTTCTTCTTTTAAATCCACTGAGAATCCATAGACAGCTGACAGTCTGACATTTACATAAAACTTGAAACTGAGTACCTCATCAATTAAAAACCTGTAAACTTACAAACGTTATCCAAACCTGTGTTTCAGGCTTGGTTCCAAAAATACTTGATGTATAATTTCTAGATCAGACTGTCCCCTGTGGAGAAATCAGACACAAGGAAGTCTGCAAACTCTCTAAAATTCCTCAGTATCCACAAAGTTTAGGAAATGTTTCTTCGTTTCCTTAGTTTATGTCCAGCTAGTACTACGAGCTGTCTGCTGACATGACTACGGGTCCCAAGTTCCTTAAAACTAAAGTATCCTCATATAGCCATCAAAATGGTGAGAGACTGTTAAAGAATTATCCGTTTGGGTCCAACCATTTTCTTTCATACTAACCCTTGTTTAGTTATGAAATTAACTACTCCATCTGGAAAGGATGCCGCATAGCAGAAAAATGCCTTAATTGATCCTTACTGAAAAGCTCACCAGGCAAGTGAACTACGCTTGACAAATACTTGACTCCTCTCCAAATGACTCCTATGCTTTTCTTTTGAAAAGATTCCTCATGGAGCAAGTCATAATGGGAAATACCACAGGATCATGGGAAAAGGTTCATATGTACTCTTCCCTGCTTCATGTAAGTTTTTAAGGGCCTACTGCATTTTGTGGGTTTACATTTCTTGATAGTTTAGGCCTTTCAAAATTATAAATGGCAGATATCAACGTATTAAAACAGCTTATTTTCTATTTTTTGGCAGAGGATTGTTATGGATCAGTTGTAATAATGCCTGTTGGGTACTTATAGGTCTTTCCTTGGAGGCAAGCTAAATATTATGAATAGCATGAATGAAGCTTTACTTTCTTATTGATTATCCTTTTATTTCAAGTTGCGAACATAATTTTGTAACTGCTCGGTTAACCAAACAATTCTTCAGCATTTAAAAGCTGACTTTCTCCTCTATTTTTTCATTAAGCTGCAACAAGTTTTCTGAAACTGCTAGTTACTCATTTGGGCTTTCTGTGAATTAGTTGTGACCATCTGGCATACAGTTGCTTCGCGTGCAGACAAAAATACCAATGTTTAGCTCCCACTCTATAACTGCTTGGAAATGTCTACTCATTGACTCATTACTTACAGTAAATACAGAAGAGAATTTCTCAAAAAGCCAATGTTAGCTGGAATATTTATATTATAACAGGATAGAATCATTGCACGTGGAAAAGCAATGGGACTGCAAAATTTGTGCAAGGGAAGATATGAGGAGGAAGAGTTACTCACCTCCCTTTCTTCTTGTCACCGCGTCAGTTAGTAGAGCTGCTTGCAGCAACCATTCACACATGTCGGAGGTAGCCCCCACTTCTCCTCCCACCAAGCACTAACTTCACCATTATGGCACCAAGGTTCCACCCCCGCCCCCTTGCACAGGAATTCCCAGCAAGCATAGGTTGGGCTTTATGGATGACAGCGAGGAGAGGAAGCAAAGATATGCAGAAGAACATAAAAGACATCAGGAACAAATGGAGGAAAAAGGCAGAAATGTGGTGTGGCAACTGTGTTTCCACATGGGACCCCACACCCACCTACCCAAAGTGAGGAAGTTGTGGTTATGACCAAAGGTGCGACTGTCTTGTTCTTTCCCTCACCCCAGGCTCTGGGCTGCCCAAAGAAAGGGGTGCACCCTACTGCCTGGGCAGCAGAGCAGGGAGCTAGCTCAGTGCCCAGGCTCTGCAGCACCCAACAGGTCTCCCATGGGCTCCTGAGGAAACGGCTGGGGACCATGGGCCAGGCAGGGGACAAGACCAGCCTGCAAGAAAGCGTCCCGCCTGTGTGGAAAGGGACACTACGGTTGCATTCACACCATGGTGTTTCAAATGTCTCCCTCAGCAGTTCTGTGTGTCCCCAATTTCAGAAGTGGCCTTACTCCACTTTATGTTCTGGTAACCCCAACTGTAGGTATTGCAAGGCCTTTCTGTGTCACTGCTTTGGTGCTTTTAAGGAAAGGTGGTACAAGTCTACCTCAAGCCTTTGAGTGACTTGGAGTCCCATCAGAATCAAAGTCTACTTGCACTTTGATTTCAGTTCTGAAAGATGGTTAATGCCAGTATTGCAAAAGCTATATAAAGCTTCTTTCAAGCTGCCACCACCTGCAAAAAAAAGGGGTTATACATCAAAGACTCTTTGTCTCCCTCATCAATTGAATAATTTCCCAAATGGAACTCCCAAGTTGACCATCAGTCTTATAAGGCCAAAAAAGAATGTGTAATATAAAAACCCGCTTATCCCCAACAAATGTAGCTAGGAACATTCACACTAGAAACATTTACCACAACAGCAAATCATTGGACTGAATAAAAGGTGGTGGCTTTTTTATAATCACTTCCTGACACAGAGTTCCCCATTACAATGAGATGGCAATCTGTTCCCAAAGACCCTGCTCTAAACTTGAAAAAATGGCCAGAAGATTTATCCATAAAACTTCCAATGAAATTAATGGAAGTTGTATGCCTAAATGGCCTTTATAGCTTTTAGAACATCAGACTATGTCTACTGCTTGGTGCTACACTTGCAATGTTCAGGTGAGAAAAAAACCCCTAAATTTTGGGTGGCTGTTATTTTTTTCTTCTTGAGGCAGAACAAACAATTCAAAAATAAAGGCTGTCAAAGGTACGCTTACTATGTAAATTAATTTTATTCAAAACAGATTAAAAAAGCTAACAAAGCTTGCCTAACTACATGAGGTAGTACATGTAGCAAAACAGAAGGCAGAATATAGCATTCTGAAATATGAAGAATACGAATAAGTTTACAAGTTGGAAGGAAATAAATTCAACAACAGAAACAAAGTATACCAAAAATAAAGTTTAACAGCTTTTCAGTCTTAAAGCACCAATACACTTTTCATAGAAAGAAACAGTTATCACCACTACATGTTCTTCATATACCATAATATGGTAAAATTAATGCACAAGGCTGTTCACCATAAATGAATTTTTAAAAATGGTGAAGCAACAAATGACGTAATTGTCACTGGGCTCCATACCACTATACTTCCTGGCCTGCAGGAGTATTTGCCAGGTCATGAGGAGCAAGGTGAGCCTTTGTTACCATTTTCTTTAAGTTTTTTTTAACATTTACCCTCATATTAATGTATAGTATATGGATATCACATACAGCTTAAGGCCTCAAACTTGAAAATTTTTATGTATGTGTATAATTCTACGTTTTTTCTGAAACCCAATTTATGTAAATTGAAGGAGTCACATGGCAAAAACAAAGCATGCGTATGTGCAGAACTGCATTGCAGAACTGATGGCTTATTCCTTAATTTCAGGTTGCTCCTCTATATGAAAATTTTCTTAGATCCTTCAAGGTTATATACATCTATCTCTCACTTACCCATCCCAAGATCACTGAATATCTGTGAAGGACTGGGCCATAATGAATTGGTTATTCAAACTAAAGAGCTTAGCAGCATCCAATAAACATTTTATTAACATACTGAAGAAATAACAAACATCAATGGCCCAGTCTCTTAAAGATACTTCTTTAGAGGAAAACATGCTAATACAACCCAGGACTTCCCTATATTTTATATTCTCCACTTTATTTCAAAACAGGTATTTGTACTTGTTATGATTAGTGTGAAATTGAAAACAGTCTAGCTCTTCATTTATGCTTGCATGGCTAATGCTACTGTAAATCATCAAAAAGTTATATATATTTTTATTTTACTTTAAGGCATGATTTATTATATTGAATTATTGGGATGGCTTCTTTTATGTACATTGGAAATAAAAACTCAGGCCTCCCTATGGTATAGTTTTAAGGTTACTGTTAGTGGCATATATAAAGCACCATACAACAATATATTCAGATGAAGAAAACAAAGAACATTTATGAGCTTTGAATTAACTGTATAGGAGTAACTGCTAAGAAAATATAGCAATATTTAACACAGGATTCAAAATATTGTTACATATCATTATAGATTTTCAACTGAATTTTTCTCCCATGTTTACTTTTACAGATTTTTTCATTAAGATATATACGTAATTTAAACTTTTTGGTGGAAAGCAGTATACATCTTCTGTACAATAATGTTACAGCTTTATACAAATTTTAGGAATTATAAGAAATGGCCTTTATTATTCTCTTCCAAGTGCTCTGGTTTCAGTTGCCTATTTTACATTTTACTTGCTAGACTTAAACAACAGCAAATACTCTGAATGCCTTGCTCCCTGGAGGGTTCTGTAAACTGAAACATAAAAACATTCCTGATGTTATTTTTAAGACTGCAACACTCCAATGACAACTTTTTTTAATTGTTAATTACAGCTCTAGGATCCTGCAACTCTTCTTGCGACTACTCATAACTTTAGCTAAGATTTTTTTTAAAAACTGTTACAAATAAAAATTACATGAATTTCAGATTAATTTTTCTTTCAAGAAGCTTATTAGGAGCAAATTATAACATAAAAAAATTCAAGTAATCCTTTGTGGTGAGGGATTCTAGTTTAAAGAATAAAGCTCTATTGAAGCAAAATATTAAAAAAGGTTTTAGGAAAAAGAGAAAGCATGCACCTTATGCTCACTATTCCAATAACTATATTCAGAGATAAGTTGCAGAACCAGATCGCTTGTTTGTTAGTTGCTTATAGGCTGAAGAATAGATTTTGAAAGAGAATTAATATTTTACAAAAACAACGGAAATGCCTTCTGAATGGATAAATATCTGGCTTCAAAAGAAATGAAACGAAAATATCCAACTGCATTAAAATATGTTTTAATGATTGTGAATTTTAATGTTTGTGAATGTTATTTATGATCCAGGCTCACTGCTTCACTACCATGTAAAGTAGTAATGAACATTTCATCACGAACCAGTGAACCTGCATCAGCTACTAGTGCTCATCTATTGCAGATCCTCTAGCTTGGACAGAATAAATCACTAATGTTAATTTTAAAAAAATCCCAAAGAAAGCAAAGGCAGTTTTCTTATCAAATATTGTGTTAGTTGCAACAGAATCAGCAAAGTAAAGAGGGTTATTTTATTTCATAAGCAGCTTTCTAGAGCAATGATTTATGAGCTTAGAGGAGGCAGGCACCTCTGGTACCGCAGCTTCTCCAAAGTCACCACAGCTGTTACACAAGCTTTGTAAATCACCCATGTTAGCCTATTTGTTTGGTTTCTAGCACTGCCCCAGGTACAAACAGACACAATGCAAGACTTTGTAAATCTTATCGAGGTGAAGGGTAAAGTGTAATCTTTGAAACTGGGCTCTGTACCTTTCTGAATATATTCCATTTTGAAAGGAAGCAATGTACACCTTTCTTTTGTCTACTGGCATAACATCAACATAACCACCCTGGTTGCGGACTACACCAGCATGTACTGCTGCCCGGCAGATACTGGATATCTAAGAAAGAATGAGGAGAAGATTAGTTTTCATTCATCCTTTTATTTCAAAATTGTTTAGAAGAAAACTAATAAAGACATTTAAACCAAGTTCTAGGAAACATAAAATAATTATATTTATTGCATGACTGATTTTATTAATCTTACAATATTTAAATCCATTTTGTAGGAATTAGGCCAGTTTATAGGAATACAGACACTGCCTCTTCAAAGATCTCCTGCAGCATGACCCCCAAATCATTTATTTCAGGCCATTTCAGTTCAAAGATCAGGAATATGTTTGAATTCTTGAGCCTTTCAAAATGAAAGGCTTTATCAGCCTTCCCTTCAACAGCAGAGAGGCAGTAAAACCCAAACCTTAGTCAATTATTACAGATCAGGAGATTCAGTTTCACCTCCAGCCAGAGCCAAACAGGGGAACTGTAGAACAGCAAAGGCACACTGCAGTCATATGTTTCTCAGAGGATGTCCTACCCCAAAGTTGAGGCATAGACTGCAATAATTCCGTCTCTAGGTGCAAAACCTCAAACATCGGTGAAATGATCTATATTCAAAGGGAACATCACAATTTCCTATCCGGGCATAGACAAACACTAAAAGCTAATTAGATTAAAGGCATAATATGAGCATCAAACAGAAGATAGAGGTCTAAAATAATTCCTTAGCTATGACAGTTGATTAATGCCAGACTAATGGCTTTAGCTCCTCAATTCTAAGGAGCTAAATAGAGTCAGGAGGTGAGAACTCTCTAGTTGCTTCAAAAGAAGATTTTTTAAAGCAGGGTCTAATTCCATAGACATTATGCAGGCAAAATTAGGCAGCACTGTTGGGCCCCAGGCCTTGAGAACAAAAACCCCGGTTGATGCAAACACAGACCCACCATCAGTGCAGGAAGAGTTGGTATGCGAACTATTACGGGAGCCTGATACCTACAAATCAATGGGCCCTGACAATATCCACCCAAGAGAGTTGAGAGCTGGCTGATGTCATTGCAAGGCTGCTCTCCATAATGTTTGAGACATCGTGGAGATCAGGTGACGTCTCAGAAGACTGGAAGAAGGCTAATGTCACCCCCACCTACAAAAAGGACTTAAAGGAGGATCCAGAAAATTATAGACCCATCAGTCTTACTTCAGTCCCTGGGAAAGTTACGGAATGAGTCCTCCTGGGGGATATCACAAGTCAAATGAAGCACGTGATTGGGAAAAACCAGCACGGAATCACCAAGGGCAAATCGTGCTTGACAAACCTGATTGCCTTCTACAACAACGTAACCTGCTCAACTGATGTGGGGTGAGCAGTGGACATTGTCTACCTGGATTTCTCCAAGGCTTTCAGTACGGTTTCCCACAGCCTCCTCCTAGAGAAACTGATTCTTTATGGTCTGGACAAGTGGTCTGTGCGGTGGGTGGGGAACTGGCTGACCGGCAGCACCCACAGGGTGGTGGTAAATAGCTCCTTTTCAAACTGGCAACCTGTCACAAGTGGGGTCCCCCAGGGATTGATATTGGGCCCAATGGTGTTTAATATCTTCATAAGTGATCTGGATGATGGGATCAAGTGTACCCTGATAAAGTTTGCCGATGATACCAAAACTGAGTGGGGAAGTGGACACTTCGGAAGGGAGAGCCACCCTGCAGGAAGACCTGGATAGGCTGGAAGAGTGGGCTAACAAAAACCTTATGAACTTCAACACGGACAAGTGTAAGGTCTCACACCTGGGAAAACATAATCCAGGAGTGCAGCACAGTCTGGGATCTCTCCGGCTGGGGAGCAGCTCTGTGGAAAGGGACCTGGGGGTCCTGATGGACCACAAGCTCAATATGAGTGAACAGTGTGCTGCTGCAGCAAAGCAAGCCAGCAGGATGCTGGGTTGCATCAACAAGGGCATCACCAGCAGAGATAAAGAAGTCATTATCCCACTCTACTCAGTGCTTGTCAGGCCACACCTGGAATACTGTGTTCAGTGTTGGTCCCTGCTATACAAAAAAGATGTGGACAGGCTGGCGAGGGTCCAGAAAAGGGCCACAAAGATGATCAAAGGACTGGGAAGCCTGCCATATGTGGAAAAGCTGAGAGAACTGGGTTTGTTCAGCCTCGAGAAAAGAAGGCTTATGGGAGACCTCATCACCATGTTCCAGTATTTAAAGGGTGGCTACAAAGAAGATGGAGACTCCATTTTTACAAGGAGTCACATGGAAAAGACAAGGGGTAATGGGTACAAGCTAATGCTGGGGAGATTCCGACTGGACACGAGAGGAATAATTTTTCACAATGAGAACAATCGGCCATTGGAATAATCTCCCCAGAGAAGTGGTGGATTCCCCAACGTTTGACACTTTTAAGATTCAGCTGGACAGGGTGCTGGGTCCTCTTGTCCAGACCGTGCTTTTGCCACAAAAGCTTGGACCAGATGATCCTTGAGGTCCCTTCCAACCTGGCATTCTATGATTCTATGAAAATTCTCTGTGAAGTTAACAGCAGCTTCATGTGAGTGAAACCTACATTCTCTGGCCACTAATTTCTCTCATGAACCTACATAGCATAAATATTATCTCCAGAAGAATTGCTCAGTGACAATCTTGATAATGTTCATTTAAATAATTGATTTAAATTTGCAGTCCTCTACTGCTCTTTCAGCATTTTAAAAATTAATCACCAGAAGAATGAAACTTCTTAGATACTCCAGAATGTAGGTCTCAATCTTCAATACACACCACAGCAAAGTGTAGCTCCAGCTACAGTGAATCTCCACTTAAAGCCAAATTGTCTAGTGGAAAAAGTCCACTGCAATAGGTCTTTCCACAACCAACCTAAGAAACTTAGCCAATATAAATATCAATAGCTGGTCACACAGGCCACTATTTAAACAAGAATTGCATTTCTTCCAGTTATAATTGGAATAATTTGTATCTGTTACCATAGCTATTTTGTAATCTCAAGGCTATATAAAATCAGTAATTTAAAATAGCAATGATTTTCCTACTCTTATTCCAAGCACAGAACTTGCCAGTTTCACTGTTATATAGTTTGTCTTTTAATGTTACAATATTTCTAGGAGTAAAGATTTTAAATTGTTTATGCAAAGAATCTTTTGCAAAGACACTTTAGAGTTTTTGTTTTCACACTGCTGGCTGCAGTTTTTGAACATGCCAGAAGGGATGCCATTTATGCTCCTCTGTACTTTTTCCTTCCCCTCCCAGGGCTGCAATACTTTTGTTATATCCTGAACACCCGTAGTTACCTAATTTTTAGGATTCTAGTATCCTTTATGTACTCATACTATGGGAGTAACTAAAGATCAGACTGATCATGTGCAATTTCAAATATACAGGGGGAAAAATGGCCTGCTCAGTACAGGATTACAGTCTAAAGAAACAAAAGACAAGGTTTACAGGCAGTTAACTACAGTGAAGAACTAGAAGAACACTATTAATTACTAGTACTGTAATACAGTAGCAACTTTGTCTTCAGTTTACAGTGGAGATATAAAAAAAGCTAGAGGTACAATTGGGGAAAAGAAAGATCAAAGATTGTCACCTCTGTAATAGTAACCAAGAGGCTACACTTTGTGTACGTCATTAGACAGGTAGGTACCTTCATAATTACATTTGAGGGTAGCCAAGATACTGGCTGTTCCAATGTTATTTGGAAGTTTCTAGTCAAGTAAAAAAGAAAGGAAAAGTCAAGTGATGGAGATTTTGACAGAAGAGGCTGACTACTTGTTGGAAACTATTTCCAGTAAAGGATGGGGTCATTGTTAGGGTTGACAAAGCAGCTGGTTACTGGATTAATGAAGTACAGCTAGGCTAATGCACAACATTTTAAAGCTAAAGGCAAGGCACTTATATGGGATATGTGAAAAAGGAGAGGTCAGAAGAATGGGATTGATGAGGCCAACTCAGAGGCCATTTTCAGATGAAAAATAAACTGATATTCTGATGCTGCTTTCCAGATGAGACTAGAGAACAAAGGTGCATAGTTTTTGAATATATGAACAATTAAATGAGTATAAATTCATAATTATGAACTAGCTTATAAGAACAGACATGAATAAATGCATATGGTTTTATCAATATGTACGAAATATAATTTTTTTTTGAGAAAGTCTTATCTGCTTTGAGCTTTCAAGAATGTTTCACTGGCTTGGCAATCTTCATCTAAATGGAATCAGATTTCAGTTCTGATGCCATAATATTTCCTATACTTAATAATATTATGTCATCCTCATCACACTTCCTTGAATTGTTAAGGTGAACATCCTGTTAATTTAAGCAGAACAGGATTTCACTCTTAGGTCTACCATAAATTTCAGCATATAATTGATATTTTACATTAGCAGCCTTATGCCAGGTTCTGGAAGTCTTCATCAGAGATTTGGGGTTGTTTCTTTAATTTTGATGAACTCACTCCAAAGGATATATAAGGCAGCATTTTTAAGTTAACATAAACATTTCATACAGCATTATATGACCATGCTTTATTGCTGTGCTGCGAACCCTCTGAAATTTGTTAGTATTTAACAGGTCACAGAATCTGAATACCAAGCTGCTTAATTATTTTCCTTCTTCAGCTACTCAGCAAAATACCAAATATCTACCACAGCACAGCAGTACTCTGCAAAGGCATTTTAACCACATTGATCTCTCCCTCACCATCACAGGACTACAGAACTATTCGATAGCTTTTTGACATCATATTGTTTATATTTTATCACAGCAGAGAATCATGAATACCTCTGCACAAGTATTAGGGAAATATTTGCATATATGGTTACTGAACCAAAACTTAATATGGCCAAAGTCCTCAGATGGTATGAAATTACACAACTCCATCAAATTCTTTAGATAAAAGACCTTTGTTGATCTCTAGCCCCCAAAAGGAGGTTCAATTTTTTGTAGAACTGCTCAGTCAACACCCATAATGTAGTCACTACTGGTAAGAGATTGTCTTTGGGAAAATGTTGCCTACTGTGAAAACAACAGGATAAATATAAACCTTAATCTCTTTAGAAATTCTTACAAGGCAACTGGAATGTGGTTAAGAGCTTCTACCATATACACATCTTAGGTGTGTCCATTAAAATAAAATTTTACCAAAAAAATCTGCAAGTGAAAGAATTTTCAACAGAACTGTTGTAGCCTCTCCTTCTCTCTATGAAAACGTTTGTTATTTTGGTACCTTGATAATCCAGGGACTAACAGCAACAACAAAGGACAATCTCTGTACAGGCAGGTGCTGCAAGATAGTCTCCAACAGAGTTCAGACAATCACTGACATGATTCAGTTCTTGGGAAGGTTTTTATTTTATTTCGTAAATGAGGTCATATTGAAAAGTGCTTTAAAAATACAGATATTGTTAAAATGCTTGTCAACATGACATGATTCTGAAATTACAGAAATAAGACTCAAAAAGTTTTAGACAAAATGGATTAACCAAAGTTGAAAGGTGGAACCACCTCTTCAGCACAAGATAGGAGGAAACTTTCTTTTTTTCCTGGTCTCCCAACAAGACAAAGCATTGCCACATGGAAACTCTTAGTGGGTCCAGCAGGGACAAAAAGCACAAAGGTGGCGATGTGTTTGGGCCATAGGAAGAATGAGTAATTTGTACTTCTTTCTGCTGAGAATGACACGTACTACAGTTCTTATTCATACCATAATAGCTCTATTCAGAAAAGACAGTAATTGTACCATAAGCTCAGAATAAGAGATACTTTATCTCTTGCAATCTACCTCCAGACAAGTGAAACAAAAGGAGATCAACTAAAAAATAGAAGGTAGAGAGCACAGATGGATGGGTATTATGTGAAAACTCCCCACAAACATAAGTTTATAGATGCTGGCTATATGAACCATGGCTGTGATTTATCTGCCACAGATAAAGAGACAATAGCTAGCAGACTGGAAGAATGGAGGAAGAAATAATGGGGGGTTTGTTTCGATCAAGGTAGGGACTGTCATTGCACTATCAAAGGAAAAAAAGAATGGGAGGAAAAAAGGCTAAAAATTCTGTGGGGCACTACTGATAAACCAGAGAACAACTCTTTTCAGGAACAGGGAGGAAAAGAAGTCACTGCAAAATATGAAATTACTTTAAGAACAAATGTCTGATCAGACCAAAGCCAGAAAAGGAAAGGTTTAACTAGATTATTCTCATGTATACTACAAAAATGGTTTTGTAAACATAACATTTTGCATTAGTCACATCAATTAATGTTATTTGCTTTTTTTTCTTATTATCTCTGAAAAATATTCTTCGTTTACTGAATGCAAGTGCTCTAAGCAGTAGTGCAAATAAATAGTCATGTGCATATATGCATACATCCATATACATATACCTGCATTTTTGAAACAAAAGAATTTGCAGGAATGTCACAGAAACCCCATCTGTTTTGTGGAATCAGCCAAGTAGATCATGGACTGCAATTTCAAATATATTTGCTGTGACAATTGGGCAAATAAGTTCTCTATATCAATGAACAAATCTGTTAATACATGAAAAACTGCAAAAGAATACACACTTATTAAATAGATCATTCTCTATAAATACTTTACCTGAAACTAGTTATGTAATATAATGCACAAAATAATCATATTATTTAGTGAAAATTTCAATTAAAAGTATCTGAGTTTTAAAATAATTTAAACGTTAGCAACAAAGGAACATTGTAGAAAATCACATAATGCTGATACCATCGATGGGAACATCTGTACAAATATAGGTAGGACACATCTGTCTACACCTGAGCTAGATGCCCTAGGACCCTTCTGTAGGAAATGGAGAGGAATAGACATCTCTATTAGGCAATTAATCTCATACTGAGGTAGACACTCTGAAAAGGTCAAATGAATTCTGCTCTGCAGATGCCCATTTATCTCCTTTACCACTATACTGTATGTACTGCAAACTACTATAAACATAACCTAGAATAGCACCTTCAGTGTAGATTTCTACCCTGACAGCATCTGAAGTTGATATGAAGACTCCCATCCCTGGTTTCTTACCTGAATTATGTCCTTTTTTTCCTAAAAGCAGTATGGCTGCACACATTTCTATACAATGGAGATGAATAATGAGATAGTACATCTAAAATAATTTTAAAGCATAACTATAATACTAATTAAAGTCATCTGGGACTTCTCCAACCAAAGCAAATTCATATTCTGAGATGTTCTCCTGTGTAAGTTAAACAGAAATGGGTCTTCTTTCTCCTACAACAAAGTATTTTCTAACTCACTGGGAAACTTTGGCTGTAGCCTTTGATTGCAACCACAGAACTGAAAGAAAATCTTCTTCCACACAATGGACTTTCATTGAATCTATTTTCACTGCCCCTCTTACACACATTAAGGACCCAGTTCCGCACGCACAAATCAATTATCTTCCTGAACTGGATGTAATCCTCACACATGTAACATGACTTACGGACAAGAGTGTTTTCAGGAAAAGTTACTCAGGTAATCTAATGGAATGATCAATAAATATTTGCATATTATTTTCACACCTTTCAAAGCACTGGAAAGTAGTGAAAATCATCATCTGACCCAGCTGGTTGCCATACTATTCCTTATGACAGCTAAAAGACAGTTAAAACATACAGTTTACTGGTAAAAATGTGAACTGCTCTCTCTGCCACTACATCTCGCCTTGTCCATAGAGAGATGACAAAGGAGGGGCATAAAAAAGAACTCTTTTTTCATTCTTTCTCCCCACTTCAGAACTAAACATGATGTAGAAAAGACGGGGAAAAAAAGTTGACTAGGAAACAGAACAACAACCAGAAGAAAATACAGTATTTGTCTGTTAAAATAATGTGACAATGTGAGATACTTTACACAAATATATCAAAATCCTGCTGCAAATATTTAGCTATCTACACAGATGAGAAATATCCAAAGTAATGAGACTCTGGACATTTATTTTCAGAATAATTTTTTTTGGTTAGTTTAATCTCACAGAAGTTATGGTTGCATCAGGGTCTAAAGAGCAAGGATTTAAATAAGTATACACTGCCAATACTGAACAAATCAGTGGGAATTTTGATAAAAAAATTGAAAATATGGGTCCAGAGACTACTGAAGTCTACACTGAGTTTTCAAAAAACTCCGTATCTTCAGCATCTGAGTATTACTAACTTAAATGGGAGCCTCTGAAAAAGAACATTTGACAAGACTGTGTAAAAAATCAGCATATGGAGGAAAACTGGATATCTATATTATATCTTATTATCTTTACATTATAGCTTTTCATAGGATTTTATATTTTACTATATTATGTAATGTAAATCGCTATACTTACATCAGAGTAAATTCGTGTTCCAATTACACGAGCATAGTGTGGATTTGCCTGCATACAGTTGCGAGGACAATACACCCTGAAATATCAAAAATAAACCACACACAGTTAGAAAGAATGGTATCGGAGTATTACTATATCATATTCAACATCAGCATTATTGAGTATAAATCAATTTGATGATGCATACATATGGGTCCATACCAATACTAAAAGGCTGTCAGTTTTTGAGGCTTTAACAATACGGGTGAAAACATTGCTGATGTAAGTTGTGGTTCATAATGAAGTGCTTGAAAACATACTTCAACAGGTCTGGTCTTCTTCCCTTTGGATAAGCAGATGGTGCTCTTGTTCAACATATGTGAGGCTAGTAGAAAAGCCAGTGAGAAGAGAGACTGTTCACTCTTATATTATTATCTGTTTCTACAGAATCCTGTACAAACTGCACAGTTGAATACCTTCTCAGGAGAAGCAGATCAGAATGAGGACCTGCTATGGTGCTGATGACTTGGTGATGCAAGCCAATTTAGCAAATTCGAATGAGGGTGAGCACTTGGCATCTGTGACTAAATTGAAAAACTTTGGAAAGTAATGCAATTCCTAGCTGATTCTAGGAGATCAGAAAGCTACTGAAACAAAGACTGTCTTTATTCAATTGCATTTTGTTAACCTTTGAGAAAAACTCTGTGTGATTCATGCCTGCTATAGCTCCAAAATGCACAGGAAAACCATGTGGGAAGCTAACAGTTGTACAGAAGGTGTCAAGCATCTTATTTGGTGTCATGGTTTAACTCCAGCCAGCAGCTAAGCACCACACAGCTGCTCACTCACTCCCCTCCACCCAGTGGGATGGGGGAGAGAATCGGAAGGAAAAAGGTAAAACTCATGGGTTGAGATAAGAACAGTTTAATAGAACAGAAAGGAAGAAACTAATAATGATAATAACAACAATAATAAAATGACAACAATAATAAAAGGATTGGAATATACGGAACAAGTGATGCACACACCCCAAGCAGCGATCCCCACAGGCCAACCCCCCCCCAGTTTATATACTGGGCATGATGTCACACGGTATGGAATACCCCTTTGGCCAGTTTGGGTCAGCTGCCCTGGCTGTGTCCCCTCCCAACTCCTTGTGCCCCTCCAGCCTTCTTGCTGGCTGGGCATGAGAAGCTGAAAAATCCTTGACTTCAGACAAAACACTACTTAGCAACCACTGAAAACATCAGTGTGTTATCAACATTCTTCTCATACTGAACCCAAAACATAACACTATACCAGCTACCAGAAAGACAATTAACTCTATCCCAGCCAAAACCAGGACATTTGGTAATTGCCATATGCTACAAGGAGGAAGTGTCAGTCAGCTCAAGGTCTATTCTGTGCTGTTTTATTTAAAAAATGTGTCATGCACTAATGGCTTTGGAGCCACCCTACATGGGGCAGCCCTGGGCAAGTGCTCTTCTCGGGGATGCTATCCATGCTCCAGTCAATATTCGGCATGTCACACCACTTGGGCATGCTACAGTCTTACCAGATAGGTAATTCAAACAGGCTGATGCAGCTAGGAAAGAGATTTTGTTTGAAGTAAGCAAGATGTGAAAGCGGCCTTTTGAAGACCGGCTGATTTATGATTATGGCATGAGAGGGGAAAAAAGAGGTTGTGCAAACAATGCCATAGCTGATTACTGTTTGTAACTTCTGAGACTACATTTTCAGAATTAAGTTAAGAGCATGTGCAGAATCTTGAATGAATCACTGCTGTTGTGAAGTTCCTTAAGTTGATACATCACAATTAATCAGTCATTTTTAACCTTGTTTTTATTTTTAAATTTTCTTAAAGACAGAACCTATTTTTCTCTTAATGGAGCTAATTTTAGTTTTTGATAATAAAGAAAAAAGATAGAAGTATGAGATTGTACCCATCCATTCCTGCATTCCACTCCTTCGCTTAGTTCTCCACACCTTCCAGCTAGAAATCCAGGAGTCATAGCCAAACACCAAACAAGTCCATGGACCCAAGTGCTACATGAAGGGATGTTTTCCTAGCAGCTCTGGCTTTGTACTTGCTTCCTGTATTGGCTGTAGGATTGCTATGAAAGTAATCCTGTGGATATCTCCAGCTTAGCTTGCAGTAAATCATGCTACAGTGTACTTACCTTTGACTCATCTATGGTTTTAAAAACTGTTACTGATTTCCTTCCTCAAAATATTGTGGCACAGGCTCCTTTCAAAGAGTTAAAACATAGGCTTCAAAGAAATGGTACATATATTTAAAGCTGTTAACTGTCCTGCAGACCACACCTTACCTTAACCATATATATTTGCAAACGTATTTGCTCACTCTATCCTCCAGAACTCCCAAGCAAGTTGATAACTTCTCTGATAAATGTCTGTATCATATCCTTTTATTGTATCTGTTTTACAGGCAAATAAACTGAAATAAAGTGTATTTTGCCCAAGGTGCATAGATGTAATAGTGGACAATGAAAAATAAACCCACATTTTTCTTTGCAGTCTTTAGTCTAACCAACTACAATTTCACTAAGGTTTACCAAGGGACCAAAGAAAGATCTTTATGGGCAAAAGAAAGTAAGAATCTCCTAGTGAAAAAGCCTGTAGATCATCTTTACCTACCTGGCCTTCTAATTTGACCAAAGACTAAAATACCAGTAAAACATTTCTGGCTTCACTTTTACAGCTACTGTTGCCACCTTTATCAATGACAACTATAGATAATTAGTAACTGACAGAAAATGTGGCAGCACTTTAAATTAATAAAACTCAAAAGAATTTTACCTTGGACAGTGTGAGGCTGGTTTTTGAAATGGGCACAGTTGTTCCACTGTTGTTTCACAGGTGACAGCTTGAACTGAAGAAAGTAAACCAGAAACAAATAAATATGTGCTATTTAGAAAAAACATAACTCAAAGTAGTACTGAGTTTATAAGAAATAAGTGCTAACCTGTTACTTTAGAGACAGTGAATGAGTTAGCAGACTGGTATTTTCTGAAAAAGAAATAACAGAAATAGTCAGTAAATAATCTCAGTGATTTCTTTCAGCTAGAAGATTTTTTATTAGAGAATCTAGAAATAAACTCAAGACATTGTCCCCAATCAATTTTTACTCACAGCACCCCCTCTCCCCAGTTGTGAATCTATTTATTGCAATGACAGATTTACTTTGTACTCCCAGTGAATCTGTTTCAAAACCAGGAATGCAGGTTAAACTCCTTCAATAATTTAATTTGCTAAGAAAATAAGTGCGCTAGGAACAAATTATGCAATCTGTTTGTCCCTCAAAATCTGTGGTTGCTCAGAAGCATCCATCTACCAGAAGAGATCATCCACTTCCCCCTAAAGGTTCATTCCTACAAAGAGCTCCAACACTGAAAAGAGTTTCTCCTGGCAGCCTTTTTGAAAAAATTCATTAAATTTTACTTTTGGATCTTATGTCTATGTTCAATTATGAGCAGTATCAGTAAAAACCCAGTATAACACGTAACAGTCTGGTTTTCTCAGTAATTATATGGTACCCAGATGTATGTATTTCCTGTTGTATATATAAAGTCAGGTATATATATTCTGTTGTTACATTACAATTGATGAACACTTCTATTTTAATCCTCTTTATCTCCTATTTTCCTCCTCTTTATTCCTCTTTTAACTCATTGGCTATGCCTCTGATTCTAATATTTTTCATCTGTAACAAAGAACCTGATGATGCTTTTGGCACCCATAAAGTTATTTATTATTTAAAAAAACACCAAGGAAATGATTCCCTATTCACCTTTGGGGCAAATTACTCTGTGCTCCACAGCACTGCAATTTGTATTCAGAAACTGTTTGCTTGCGTTGGTTTATTTAGCTGTATGGCCCACCAATTTCATATTTGCTCATTTATTGGATTCCAGTGAGTTAGCTCATGCTTCTGTTGCCCTAGCATTGTCCAACACTGATGTGGGAATAGTTCACTGTATTCTGCTGTCAATTAGCTTATTGAGATTTTGTTAAAAATGGTATTCTATACTATGAAAATGCAACAGTTGGAAAAACATCTGTATTAGCAATCCTGATTATAAATCAAAGGAGCTGAAGATTAGGAAGTTTGCTGTATGTTGCACTGACATTCCTTTTTCTGTCTTTCTGTTTTGCAATATGCACTAGAGGCAAGATCCACTTCATTTCATCTATTCGTTGACTAGATACGTAGTTTATGCAAGGCTCCATCTAGAGACACTGGTGAGAGGCAGGTAGCGGCAAATTATCCCCAGCCTTATTGATGGGCCTTTTGAAGGCTGAACTTTGGTAAATTGTATTTATTTATCCCAAAGACTTTGATTTATAGGCTGACTTAGGAAGCTCATGCCTGATCACAATATGTTGTAAATTCACTCTAAAAGGTGATGTCCATTACTATAGGACATTAATGAAGAATTATGTCATCTGTGCGCAAACATGGTGGCAGGAGTTTCCTGAAATATACTTGTAGATAGGAAGGTATAAATTTGGTCCTTTAAGAGTCTTTTATTTATAAGGCATCTAATTTTTTTCACAACACCTGAATCACAGAACCAAAACCAAAATGGCCATTACTGTTCAGCAATGATACAATTATCCATGCCCACAGCAAACAAAACCCAGTGTTAAAACCTCACTCTGAGTTCTGATTCTCAGAGGATAGGTGCTAAACACGCTCTGTAAACTGGACATTCATACAATTTTGTCTCATACAGCACAGAAACACAGAGATTTCAAGTCATGGGAAATAAGTTCCTTCTAGTTTGAAGATCTTCTACAGTTTAACTACTCCTACATTTGCAAGAAAGCTGGCTTCTAATATGTTAGTATTGATATAATCAAGATTTACTTCCTTCTTTGTCTCAGAGCATTTAAAAAAGAGATTTTTTTCTGTATCTTCATTTTTAGGTAGGGTAACTTAAACCACAGTCAGATCATCAGATGATCCAAAGAAACAGATTGCTGTCAATGCCTTAAGTGCTACCCAGGTAGCCCAAATTATAGACCACTGAATTTAGTCTACCTGGTCAATGTTTCTCTCTATCCTGGATTACATAAATCTGTTGAAAAGAGAAATTATGACAGGTGTCATAGCGTGTGGCATTCGTTCGCACAGCAGAGAGTGAGAGCACAGCCTCTAAGGATTACTCATTTCCTTAACCTTGGGTTCACACCTGAGCCAAATATATCACTCAGCAAAATTCTGTTTTCTTTCAGGTTGATATTACTCCTACATTAACTATTACACACATGCTACTATTACACATATACTAACTATAGACAGAAATAAGGACAGCAATGTACAGCTCTGCAGAATACATTATGATATAGTGAAGAGTAATTTGCAAATACTAATATTTTAAGATTCAAACATGCTAATATTGATGTTGTCCTATCATTGGACAATTACATATGGAAACAGACAAGTATTCTCCACTTCTATGCACTGTTTTTCTGGTTTTTCTTTTAGCATGTCAACAAGTATTTGGATCTGTTTTCATATATCAGCCTTGGGGCAAGCACCTGAAGAGTGTAGTACAGCTCCAAATAAAGCTTCCACAGTATGCAGTATTATTCCATATGTAAATTGCGGAATTGTGCTGAAACTATCAAACATATAGGAAGACGTGTAATTTCTACTCAATTCATCCAGTTCATATGCACAGTACAAGACGGTCACTTTCAAACACAAACTTGTAAGATTATTGCCTTGTTAGCTGTCATAGATTGCTGTGTCCATGGTCCAACCCTGGAAATATTACCAGCTTTGTCCAAAAAATGTAAAACAAGTTACTTCAGTGCCAGTATGTACTAGTTTTCTACAATAAATATATACACATACAAATGAATTAATTGAATATTCCAAATATTGAGATTATTTAACTACAAATTCTAACTTACTGCCCAAGTGATTTTGTAAATTATTTCACCTTCTTTTGCATCATTATTGCATCACTTCTGTCCACCATTAAACACTGGCTGAAGTTTCAGAATGGATACAATACCTGTATATCCACATGCCTTTTTATAGCATTTTCATATTCTTTATGATAAAAAGTATGAACAAAATGTTATTACTGTGACATATTTTGTATGAAATAAAAAGAAACAGGTGAAAACCTTTCCATATAATTTAATTTTAAGAAAACTTACCCAACTGACTGAATGCCATTTCTGTAAGACTTGATAAAGTAATTTTTCCTTCCTTGCCTAGTGACATCAACCCAACCACCTTCATTGTCTAGGATGCCATAATGTATGGCAGCTTTACAAATACTGGATTGCTGAAAAACAGAGTAGGAAAAGCAGTTCCATGTCAGACAAAACCACTATTTTACATCGTAATTTATTTGTGGGAAAAAAACAGGTTTTAATTACAATGTGCCATTAAAAACTTGGTAGATAGTCTATTAAGTTTGATGTGGTCTACGTAGGTATTATTTCAAATGAAGAAAACACCACTTTGCCTTACTTAGAGATAAACTATACTCATTTACAGTATACTTGTTTACAGTAGCTATTATTTCCTATACTGTTTTTCAGTTCTACAGAATAAATTATGTATTTTCAGTTAGCATTAAGTTTACACAAGTAGGCCTATCTTACTGAAACAATTTATATGACTGTACCCACCAACTGATATATTTCTCCTTAAGTCTCACCTTCACATGTTTACATGCAAGTATGTGGACACAAAAATTCTACTTCTGTGCATGTATAAGAAGCATGAAGTACATTTGGACAGTACACGCAGAATAGCAGATGCAAACTTAGATCATCTGATGCTCTCAAACATTTGGTGTAGGCTTTTATTTTGGGGGAATATTGACTTCTTCAAAATCAATTTTTAATATTATTTTAACTAGTATTCCAATAGAAAAGACATTTCATTAAACATTCTACTGGTACAAAATCTAATTTAAATATATTTACCATTTCATAATGTACACTTCCAATAACTTTGGCTTTGCTATCCAAACAGCCAGCAGGACATTCATACCTAAGAAAATAAAATACAACTTGGTCTTAAATCCTGGGACTACAAAAAGGGAAAATATTCCAGCTCACATACAAATAAAGCCTTTTAGAATAATCTCAGAATGACAACTGTAAAATTTACCATACCTATTGCAAGTTGTTCCTTTGCACTGATCTCTTAGCCTTACTTCACATGAAACAATCTGAGCTAAAACAAGCAAAAAGCAATTTCACTGCAATGAATTTGATACTATATAATTCAAATTTGTTGACCACTTGCAAATCAGGTAAATTCCTTACACATTTGCTGTGTGCTTATTACTTCATTTTTCTCACTGTCATCAGCGCCTGTGGAGCCTGAAGGTGAATGAGTTCTTGGCCGGCTTTGCACCGTTGCATCCTGGGCTTTGGATCGCTGCCGTTCAATCTCATTGGTTTCCTCTTCTGGTTCGTGGGGAGAATAAGGCCTTTCTGAATCCTCTGTTTCAGAAAACGGGCAAAAAAAAAATCTCTCAGGAAAAAAAAAATCAGTGTTTGTGGAATATAAATCCTTTACCATGTTTTGGTAACATGGCTTTGTTCTCATAAAATGGTGTATGAATACAAGCAAGAAACCAAGGAAAACTTTCCACTGCTTCATAAGTTGAAGACCTCAAGATTAATAATACATCTCAAACATGTTTCTGATGCTGATAAAAGGTAGATTTTTTCTAGCACAGGCAGCAGAACTAAATGTGTATGAAAATGCTCTTAACACTCCTGTTTTAGTACCTTTATGCTATCAGAAAACCAATAGAACAAAGATGATATTTCTATTATACATTGGAATAGTTTCACCAACTTCATAGGTGACTTGTAACTGAAGAAGCTGATTTCATAAAAACATACACCTGAAAATGAGGTCTTTCTATTCATATATAATGAAAATAATTTTGAAATACTCATCACTGAATCTACATTTCTTACTTAAGCAAGAACCATAAGGAAGATATTTGGGCACACTTGTGCGGATTTTATGGTCCATAGAAATTTCAGAAGTTATTAACAAAAATTGCTAAATTACTTGTACACAGAGTAAACCAAAAAGAAACAGCAGCTTCATAACATGCCGTGTTTCAATGCTATAAAATATGAATAGCATTTTGAAAATTGTAAGAAGTTAATAATCGTCCCAGCTGATATTTTGTTTAATTACTAATGTCTTCTAGTCTAGTTCTTGATTCTTCTTATAGTAATGCACATGGCTATGTCACTGAGATAACGTTTCCCTATAAATAAATGACTGCATAGACTTCCACTAAAATTACAAAAAGGCATACAAATAGCACCCAGCGACAGCCTACATCTTTGTGTACTAGAAGACCTCAATCGGCACTTAAATCAGCAAGAGTTCAGTACGCTCCACTCCCTCTGGTGTGGCTCGGCCTCACGTACCTTAAGTACATTATCTCATTCATCATAGTAAAGTAGGCCCCTACCAGGTTTTTGGGCACATGCATAATATATTCTAGTCCACTATGTTAAAGCATAATGAGGAAAGAAAGCAAAAGAAAGGTTACATGTCTCTTCCCATTTATAGTTGTACTGTTGAAATAGTACATACCTCTGTAACAAAGATTTTCTCTGCAACCTCCTCCAAAACTAGGGGGACATGCAGAACAAGGGCGGCCAGGTTTATAAGGAGCATGACCCCACCAGTTACCCCTTTACACGAAAAAAAAAAAATAGCAAAACATGCCTTAATAAATTAACATATGAACATTAAACAGCATTTAATATGTGAACAAATAAATGATGAAAACCATCAGACACTTAGGACAATAACATTTTTTTGATATTTCCAAATAACAAGTGATGGGATGAGAGGAAATGGCCTCAAGTGGCACCAAAGGAGGTTTCGACTGGATATCAGGAAAAATTTCTTCACCGAAAGGATTATCAAGCACTGGAGCAGGCTGCCCAGGGAAGTGGTGGAGTCACCATCCCTGGAGGTATTTAAAAGATGTGTAGATGTGGTGCTCAGGGACATGGCTTAGTGGTGGACTTGGCAGTGTTAGGTTAACGACTGGACTTGATGATCTTAAAGGTCTTTTCTAACCTAAATGATTCTATGATTCTATACCAAATGCACAGGAAGTAACTGAAAAGTCCATGAAAAAAACCTGAAGTACTACCATAAGATCTTTTCAGATTGGCATAGCACCATAAGACTAAATTCCTCAATTACATGAGAACAGGCTCCACTCTCCTAAATAGAATATCCTATAGAATTTGATCTTAACCATGGGCTTCATATTACACATTCCTTAAAGTCACAATGGGGAGATACATTTAATTTTCAGACAAATATCACACTACAACAAAGATCTCTGATGTTGTATGCTAAAACACAGGCCAGAAAACTGAAGCTCTAGAAAATCACAAGAGTATTTGTACAGCCAAAGGCTGCCTTGGGAACAACGCTCTGCTTTGTAACAGTACAAAAAATAGAACACCCAGACTGATTTCTTTTCAGATTGTTTCCTGGGTTATTATAAAGCATCTTGCCCCCTCAAGATATTTTTGGGTGTCAGCCTACTTACTTAGGAGAATAATTGCATACAAGATAGACTGCTTTTGGCCAAATCTGCCCCCAGATGTTCATGTTATGACACAAATTTATTGCACAACCGATTCTGCTACTTGTAGCCCAAACAACCTATGGAAAAGGAAAGAGAAAGACATGTGAAAACCAAAGCTGAGTAACATAAAATCAAAACTGTCTCCAAACTTAAACGTATAAAACTCAAATTCCAAAAGTGATGTTACATTCCCCTCTGTTATAAATGGGTTGAAGTGACCTAATTACAACGGCCAAAAGGCCATGCAGTTATATCCTTATTAGAAAGAAAAGCTTTACTTTGATACAAAAGATATGGCTCTTATTATATGTAAATGGTCTAAGCATATATTTGGAAGTGTAGAAAATATCTATAAAACATGGTCTGAAGAACTGATTCTTGGAATTACAATTAATAATCATGAGTTAGATGTTAGGTTCCTGTGCCCTGGAGTTCTCAGCACAACCTAAGGACCCAGAAGGGTTTAGATTGGTTAGACTGAGAGAATAGATATTTGTCAGCAGTGAAAGGAGGTAACATAAACAATAAAACTATTCACAAAAAAACTCATACACTGAAAAGACTCAAGTCATGGATTTTCAATTAATATGCTTTCCTGTCCTTGCAAGCTAAGGTGGCTGTGCTCCTTTACTCATCTGTTGAAACAATTTTCATTGCAGATCTCAAAATGATCTGAACAACAAAGGCTGGAATGTTCAAATTAGACAAATATGACAGGTGTTAAACTTTTATAAATTCAAGATAAGCCAACTGTGTAGTTCCAGCAGGATATAGGAGTTGAAAGAGATAGGTACTGTGAAGAATTAGTACCACAAAGAACTATATATATGTATTGTAGATTTTGCATGTAATGGATACGTGTAATTAAAGGTATTTTTACAGAAATGGTAAACAAGAATATGGAGGTAACTGAGTCTTAAGATTAGATACAATAGGAAATAGTGCTAGTAAACAGAAAAAAAATGTTTAAAAATTAATAATTTAGAAGTTTTCTAATATTATATTGAAAATTCTATGGGGATTTTAGTATAATCTGAGGATCATGTATTTCCCATTCACTGAAAACATGACTGGTCCCCTCTGGAAAAATTCAGGCTAGATACACAGAGTTCAGAAGTACCAAATAAATTAGTTCCTATGCAATTTCATAACCTTGCTGAAGTTAAAGCAACATGTTAAAAACTGTTTTTTAATCTGAGGAATTCACCTAAGAAAACTTTTTTTTTTTTTTAAATGTGCTGTTTCTTCAGCATATTACAGAAAGGACTACCAGCATACCAGCACAGAGACTGGATTATGCAAAGTGCACTGAGCAGTAACACTCAATTTAATGCTGGGTTTTGTAAGCTTCTTCCTTAGTCCTGTTAAGGAAGTGATATTTATGAGGATGAAATCTAAAGATTCACATGAAAACCCTACTCTATGTCACCTATACCCAATGCTTTTAACTATGGAGTCTAATAACAAGCAGCCCCTTTTGTGGTTTAGTGCTATGGTCTATACTGCAAGATTAATATGTTCTACGTGTCATACAGCAACCTAACTGGAGGTCTCAACCACTCTTCTCCATAGCTGACAAAAACCAAACCCACCTACATACCTGTGTGTAATGTGTACAAACAGGACCAGAGCATTTGTAAGGACAATATGGGTTGCATTCATGAGGATGGGGATACGTGAAATCTCTTACTTCATCATACCATGCTTGGACATGAAATGTTGGAGGTCTGTACCTATGAAAGCCAGTAGTAGTCTATTAGATCATTCAAAAGTTGCAGCTTCTATCATTCTTCCTTTAAGTAACAAACAAATTTTGTTAGACTTAAATAAAAAATATATAGTATAAAATAGTATCTTAAACTACCTGCCCCAGTGTGCCCCCAAATTCTGTCCAATTGATGGAAGAAGGCTTGCAGGCCCATGCTCCCATAGACAGGTTTCAGCCCACGACTCTGCAGATCTCTCCAGTTCTGTGTCCCATGTCTGAAATTTGAAAGAAAAGAAAGGGACACCTCCTTAGAAATACTTGGTGTGTATCTCATACTAAAAAAAAAAAAAAAAAAAAAAAAAGATTGTCCATTTTTAAAGCTTCTGTTACTGGGGCAGAAGACTGAAGAAAAAGTGAGACTTGACAATTGTATGCCCCATTTGTGTCACATAAGAAAGAAAAACGTTTTCACCAAGAGAAAAAAACATTTTAATCCTTTCACAGCACTCCCTTTAGAAAGCATGTGCAGCCATGCTGCAGTGAATAAAGCACAAATATGAAACTGAAAGGCTTAGTTCAACTTTCCAAGCTAAATTAAGTGCATTTTCTGTCTTGTGAGATTTCTTTTTAGTAATAGGCACTTTTTTAGCCAAAAGGGTATTATCCAACACACTTTCAACATAAGGCTTTATTTCCTCTAAACCAGTAGTTTATCTGAAGTGAAAGCAATTTTCTCTTCTTTTTCTATAATCAGCTTTTTAAAAATAATACACAGTGCAAACACAAAATAAGAAAGCTACAGTAAGGTTGTCATTCATTGATTTTATGGCTAGGTTGGCAAAAAAGGAAGCATTCATGTTAGTAAGAGGCATGCTTAGGAAAAGTTAAAAAAAATTATGAATTATTGTTTATCAATCACAGTTGTTTATCCTTATTTTTTATTCTTTAAGGGACAAGAAAGAATAGGCTTGTAGCTGAAAGGCAAATGCAAGTTTCTTTCTTTCAAAAGCATACTAAAACCTACTCCTCTTGAAAGACATTATACCATACTGTGTATGTATAGTTCTTACTGCGCTAAGCTGGGGTTTGCTCAAAGCGGTCCCTCTTGTGCAAAGTATCCATACCGCTGCTTGACTTTCTAAATCTCCTGATAGTTGCAGAAATAGTTTCCAGATACCTGACTCTCTGATACCAATGCTCGGCTTACGGAACTGAAATATTTCCAGGAAGAAAACACATCTCTTGATAGAACCTCAATTATTTCATCATAAGTTCAGACTAAGTTTCATAGAGCGAGACTGTGTTATCTAAATAACAGTAATTCAGTATTTCCAAACCCAAATTCCCATGCAGACATTGGAGATCATGTCTACAAATTTTTGGCACAGATTAAAGGTAAAAAACTCCTTAACACAGCCAAAGAATACACAAACATAACAGACAAATTCCATGTGCTAGAATTTATTTTTCTTTTGATTTTGACATGCAGTTTTCACCTTATTAATTAGATTACTCATTAAAAACAAATATGTCCTTGGTTATGCAAGACCATGATTATGTAAAGACTTTAATATCACTCAGTTTAATCCTAGAATAGCTGTTCTTAGTTTTTTTCTTCATAAGTCTCTAATGCATTGCATTCCATTTTGTGTGTTATTCTTAATATCATCAGCAAGTAAGAAGTTTACAGGGTACATTTTGACTCCCAAAATGCAACATTTATTTTGACAGAATTACTCGTAACAGTATAATAATGAAAGAATAAAGCTTTTAGCCTAAATATGGACACAAAACCCACCGACTTTAGGAAACAGTAGGAATTTTCTATTCATCCTACTGGGCCAGTATGTCAAGATCATAAGCCATAGCATTCTTTAATTGCCATAAGAAAACATTCTAATCTTAAATCAGAAAGTTTTATACGACAGTTTGTATAAATCTTTTCCTCTTCCCTTTCCTTGTCACACCATCATAAATGGTTCTTCTTCCTATTGTACCCATTGTAAAAATCAAAGAGTAACACACTTTTTCCACATATATATTTTGTTCTTATAAATTGTAGTACAATTGCTTCACCATTCTACAACGGAATCATGAGACTGTCAGTTTTTAAAATAAAGGCCACTACAGTTTGTCTTAGTTGCATACATTGTATGACATTAAGTCGCCTCAAAATCTTGTAATACTTAGATTTAGCCCTGAATATGAACACGTCGTAAAGTTAACATATTTACCAAATAATTGCTGTTAAGAATGGTCTTACCAACTGGATTCTGAAATACAGATTTAGAGTAAATTAGACTTATGCTAGACCAAAATGCAGGCACCTGCTCAGTTTTAAAACTTCCCACCTCCAAAGCCAGCTAAAATTTCTTGTAGCTCTTGTGAGCCTCAGAATGCCACAATATATTCTCTTGTAAAGCATCCCCCACCATTTTCTCTAAAAACAGCTTTAGCAATCTAATAACACTGGAGAAAGAATATGAGTTTTAAAACTTGATTAATTCATATTTCAGTACCTTTGTAAAATGTCTGTGATACTATCTCATAGGAACTGTCTCATATATCAGAATTTAAATACAAGCATTAAAAGACAGGTATCTTTTTATAAAAAAATGCACACAGTGTCACAGCACACATTTCATACACTAAAATTCTGATGAAAAGTGGTGAATAAAAAGGTTTATGATAAAAATAATCAGAAATCTTAGAGTAAATATTTGCTTCTGTGTACAGACTGAATTCACTCAATCATACTGCATAACCCAAACACACAGTAGGCTAATCAATCAACGGATAACCCCAACTTCAACATGTTGTGAAACGTGAATCATGTGTCAAAATATATTTGGGGTTTGCAGCAAACGATGCGACATGTCTTGCTTTTCTCCCCAGTGCATGTACCACACAACGAAGTCACTTCAGAACAGTCAGCTGTTCAGGAAAAGCTCTCTGTGTGCCATAGAAGAAAGGACTCATTCATTTGTTCCTCAACCTTTAACACCTAAACCCCTTGTTTTTAAAGCCAGATACAAAAACTACCTCGCATGGATATTATGCACATATACCTAGCATATTTTGTCGTCAGAAAACACTGCGTATTGTCCTGCCAGCCAATGTTTAGTTTGATCCAGGGTTTTTTTGGATGAGAAGAGGTCATGAAAAATATCAACCTACAGTACAACTTAACACTGCCTCTTCTTCATCAAGACTATATTTGAGTTCAAATGTGCTCAAATATACAATGGTTATTGTTGCTAATGGAGCCTGTTATTTCAAAGCTACCTCAGGTATCTCAGTGCCAAATTGCAGTCCATAGTATGGAGGAACACCTAGTCGATTAGCAGGATATAGCTTAATTTCTTCTTCATTTTAATTATTTAAGTATTGGTTTGGGGTGTGATGGAGTAAATACTAAAAGCATTACATATTCAGATGTAAAAAAATCTGTCAAGTGTAAATTGCACTTAGGAAACAACCTCTTTAATTGCAGTATTCATTGTCCAGCTGTCTCATTTTCTCATCAAAGCTACCACTTCCTGAAGTGTCTGTTAATCGAAGTTAGATTTAAAATAAAACCTCTCCTATGTTACATCAAATTTATGAAATACTCTGGGAGATATGACCCAATGTCCCAGTTCCAAAAAATTTCCTTGAGATCCAAGTCACTTTCTTGATTGCCAGAGACTTTCAAAGAAAAAAAAAGGAATAAAACACCAATAACCTCCTAAAGCCAGTGGAAAAAAAAGGTAGAAGGGATTAGAAGTCACAGTTACTTGGGTCTCCAACCCCTACCAAGACAGAAGCAATACAAAACAACTCCAAATTAATGTAGAAATGAAAAAGTCTCTCAATCTCCAGGATCACTCTAATGATTTTTAATAAAAAAAGGGGAAACTGACATCCTAATCCCTGACACAGTTCTTTCTTTGGAAAACTTTATCTTACATTTGTATCTGACTATTCCAGTGATGCAAAATTTTTACACAGGTGCTAATAATATCATCAACAGGTACAGAATTTCTGAAAACGAAACACTTATAAAAGAAATCTGACAGACTGCAATCCCATATCACAGGTAACATAGAGTAAATTAGCTTAAAGGTGTTTTTAAAGGTAATTTCTACAGTTACATGTAGTTGGAACTTAAACAATTCAAAAGGTTTTGTACTGCTTTGCCAACTTGCCTGAACATTGCTTCAGAGACTGGATCAACAGGAAGAAGCTGCTTTACCTTAGTCATGACACCTTGATTTTTGTCCTTCTTTTCCAGTAGTTAAAATAGGAGATCCAAATTTCCCTCCTAAATTAATTATTCTGGTTGAAGTTGTATGAAGGAAAACTGTGTATGTTAATTCTAAGGATTAAAAGACTGTTAATTTTAAAGTATTTTCATACCAATCCAGTCAGATTAGCTCTAAATATAATGCATTTTATCATATTTGTTCTGTGTCTGCTCACATAGCAGGCTAAATGAAACAAATGTAAAATAATCTGTATAAGTATAAAAAATCTACCTGCTTACTGGAATAGGAGTTTTATTCCTGTGCTCTTAATAGCATTCCCTAGTTTCACTTACATGATGGCCAGCTTTTGGCTTCAAACAATGAAAGCGACTCCATATACAAAGAAAGATATACACATATGTTTTCATGTTTCATTTCATAAAATTCAAAAGGCTTTTGTTCTCCTAGTGTTCCCTTCTTCCTTAAAGCAGTGAAGAAAAAAGATAAAGGCAGGAAAGCAAATATATAAGGAAAGGTTTCCAAAAACACATAAAAATGTCTATTCAGAGCAAGTTACACAATGAAGAACTTCAAACAAATATAGAACTAATTAGTGAAACTTTAAAATGCCAAGTTGCTTGGCATTTTAAAAAAAGCCAGACTAAAAGTGGAAGAATATGAAGAGTCACAGCAACATAGATATTTTACATCCTATCAGGAGTAGGCATCTCTCTTTAACCACATCGTCATTAGTGATATTAAAATCTTGCTACTGAAATATATACTGACCTGACATAGTTCTGATGCTTTAAACTTAATTCAAAAAGTTCTTCCACAACATTTATCATCATCAGCTGGTATTTTACAGATTTAAACTAAGGACACTGCTAAAACAACTTAACTCTTTGAAACAATTGGTACAGAAAAAGTTCAAAAGAAATCTCTGCATAGCTGTAGGCAAGGATCCTTTTGCTTGATGAAGGATGAATAAACTCTTCAAACACCATTACGTGAAAATACAGGAAGTTATTTCTTTTCATAAAAAGGGT